CCTATTACACCCCTACTCGTACCGTCTCCAGCTCCTCTCCACAGCCCCCGTAAAAAATTGCAAGAATCATCAGAGCCAAACTACGATATCCAAAGTGCAGCCAAATTACAGTATATGTGTAGATCACTGTTAATGTTGGTGCCAATGTCTTAAATTGGACTATTGACTTCTATCAATTTGATTTCTTTTTCATGGATTTCTTTAGGGATATACAACAAGAAAAGTTCAGCGTGCAAAATTCTGAATCATGGAAATGCTCAAATACTGATTTAGAAGCACAGATTGAACAGGCGGAATCTCAGATTGCATTGCTAACTCAGTTAACTGGCATTGGCTTCACTAAATGCATCATGACAACAATGGGAAAAGGTACATTTGTTTACATGTATGTGTTTTGCAGATGATAGATGTCAAAAGGCCATGCCCCTCAAAGTTATGAGTTCCAGCATAAGATGGACCAAGCTTTTGATAACGAGAAAATGTTGCATGCAGAGAATAAGGAAGTGGGAGGCACTGTAAAGTAAAATTCTGCAAGTCTGGATTTATCTAATAGAGATACATTTCTTCACAAAAGTGAGAACTCACTAGCGGTGATGATTGGGAGGAAAGATGTTAGCAACAACACACCATTGCCTATGGTTATGAAGAGAGTGTCACATTGTCCAGGAAAGCACATGTGATATACGATTTTTGAGAAACAAGAAGGTAGCTTCATCTAGAGCTCTCAAAGGGTGTGTTGCCTCCCTGATGCCAGACTGAAGAACATAAATGGGTAAGTAAATAAACTTTTAGAAAGGAAGAAAAGTAGCTAAATCCATGTCCATGTCCAATAAGTGACATGTACAAGTTTCAAGGATCTGCTGAAGAGGCTACTTGTGGAATTCATTGCTGTACATTGCAATTTAAAATGTTGAGTGTAACAATATTCAGGGAACTCCTGGATCTGCACATTAGATCAGTTAGATTGGTAACTTTGTATGATAGTAGAAATGGTGTAGAAGGGAAGATCCTGAGGTGGGGTAATTTCAAGACTGGGGGGCATATTTTTAAGGTCAGTGGAGAAAGATATAAAAAAGACGTGAGGGGCAACTGTTTTTACACAGTGGTTTGTGTGTGGCATGAACTTCCAGAGGAAGTGGTGGATATGAGTACAGTTATAGCTTTTAAAAGACTTTTGAATAAGTATGTGAATAAGAAATGTTTGGAGGGATATGGGCCAAGTGCAGGCAGGTGAGACTAGTTTAATTTGGGATTATGATTGGCATGGGCTGGTTGGACTGAAGGGTCTGTTTCCATGCTGTATGATTCTATGTAGATTCAGAATTCTGGGTGAGATACACTGACCCAAACTGGGATTAGTGTCATTGTACTTCAAGGAAGGTAAGTAGGTCAGCGAGCGAAGTTTTGAATTCGCAAGATTGGTGAGGGAAAGGAAAAGGAATGCAATGAAAGATAGATGATATGCTATGTATATGTATATGATTTACAGTACTCAACCTGAGAAACTTGCAAACTGTCAGTAGAAAGTTGCATTTCTGTTTGTGGAAATCTAAACCCGGGCATTTCCAGACAATTGATCTGTAGCTAAGATACCACAAGAAATTAATAATGGATAAACAATAAACATGTTCAAATTTCAACAAGTCTCTGATATGACACCAAAATTGGAGGTGTAGAGGACAGCAAAGAAGGTTACATTAGAGTGCAACAGGTCTCTGACCAAATGGCCAATGGGCCCTGAGGAGTGGCAAATGCTCTAAAATTTAGAAAAATGTGAAGTGCTGCATTTTGGAAAAGCAAGTCAGGGCAGGACTTGTACATATAATGGTAAGGTCCTGGGAGTGTTGCTGAACAAAGGGACCTTGGAGTGCAGGTTTGTAGTTTCTTGAAAGTGGAGTCCCAGGTAGACAGGATAGTGAAGAAGGTGTTTGTTTTGCTTGCCTTTATTGATCAGTGCATTGAGTATAGGAGTTGGGAGGTCATGTTGCGGCTGTACAGGACATTGGGCAATTTTTAGAATGCTGTGTGCAGTTTTGGTTTCCTTGATATGGGAAGGATGTTGTGAAACTTGAAAGGATTTGGAAAAGATTTACAAGGATGTTACTCAGCTTGGAGGGTTTGAGCTGTAGGGACAAGGTGAATAAGCTGGTGCTATTTTCCCTGGTGAGTCGGAGGCTGAGGGGTGACTTTATAGAAGTTTATAAAATCGTGAGGAGCATGGATAAGGTAAAGAGACAAAGTCTTTTTCCAGGGATTGGGGGGTGTCCAAAACTAGAGGGCATAGGTTTTAGGTGAGAGAGCGAAGATTTGAAAGGGACCTAATGGGCAACATTTTCATGCAGAGGGTGGTGCGTGTATAAAATGAGCTGCTTGTGGTGCAGGCTAGTACAATTACAACTTTAAAAGGCATCTGGTTGGGTATGTGAATAGGAAAGTTTTAGAGGGATGTGAGCCAAATGCTAGCAAATGGGACTAGATTAATTTCGGATATCTGTTCAGCATGGATGATTTAAACGAAAGGGTCTATTTCCATGCTGTACAGCTCTGACTCTATATCTGCATTTATGTGGTCATTAGCAACCCAATCTGTTTGAGAATAAAAGATGCCTGTTTCAATTAAAAGTTCTGACATTCCCTCAGAGGTGAATGTCTATTTAAGAACAAATGGAATTTACTGAGAGAATAAGGCAAAATAATGACATAGACAGAATAAAGACTTCTGAACTCAGGTTTTATTGTAAAGAACTTGAGTATTGCTGAAAAACATTAATTTTTCACCTGACAATTACTGGATGATTTCACAAGACTGTAAGTTGAAGGGTAAGTACACTTGTGGTGCAGTGGTATTGTCCCTACCTCTGGCCCAACTGACCTTGATCCAAGTCCCGCCTTCTCCAGAGGTTTGTAATAACCTCTCTGAACAGGTTGATTAGAAAATAGATATAAATTAAGGAAGCAAGCCAACATTCATACTGCGTGAGAGGAGAGTGCTAATTGGTTGCCAAGTGAACTTAGGTAGAGATATGGCTCTGGAAGCAGGTATTGGAGCCAGCTCTCTTTGAGACAAAGAGCTCTAACTGCTGTACTGAGAGGAGTTCTATGTAAGATGACATTGTCAACTTTGACCCTTATGAATGGAGATGCTCAGCAGAAAAAATGTCATAATCTGACATGCAACAGCAGTCGCTTTTAATCTTAGCAAGCTAAGATATGTCTGATGGTGAGAGGTAGAACTGTTTTATTGTTACATCAGGAAGTAAGATACAATTGGCAGGATAAGGGACATGTTGGAGGAGCATGGCCTTAGATCAAATCACCTTCATGTGAAGTCTGATTTGATACTGAATGTGAAGTTTCAAGTTCACACCCCAAAATATTGGAATAAAAATTGTTATTCTCAGTTTGGTAATGAAAATCAGCTTGACTATTTTAATGAAGTGTTTTCATCCTATTACATTTATTTTCAGGTGATGACAAAAGAAAACAATACAGACTGTCAGGCTATAGTCATTCCCTGCAGTTTGACCTTGAATTTGAACTTCTAAAGGTTCAAGTAAGTATATGATTCAAATTTTAGAGTAATGCAAAATATGCTGGATTCAATCATTTCTCTTGGTGAAAATTTAGTGTAACACAATTTGTTGCAAATTATGACCTTCAATGCTGCCTGTTATTGTAGGATCAAGATGTAGCTTAGAGCTGTATATTTAAGGAAACTGATTAATTTTGTTATGAAGGAGTGCAGAATTCTTTCAACAATTAGCAAATGGATACATTGAGATGCTGAGTAAAGCTTAATGTTTGTTGTTTTATTCAGTGGGTTTAATTATATGGAAAATGTAAAAGGTGGAGAGGGTCAGCACAGGTTATTAAAGTTTCCAGAATAAGTAATAAGACAGAGTATGGATAAGGTCAAGAATCTAATATGAGAAACAACAGATAAGGGGACAACCAGAGAAGCACAACAGTCAACGCAGGACAAAAGGTATTGTACTGAAATGCAGGCAGTGTATAAAACAAGTAAATAAACTTGAAGAGCAAGTACAATGTTGTGGATATCATACAGACATAGCTGCAAGGGGATCAGGCTGGGAACTAAATATCCAACCATACTCATCCTATTGAGAGAACAGTCAAAAGGGCGGAAAGGCTGGGATTGCTGTGTTAGTAAGAAATGAAATTAAATCGATAACAAGAAGCGATATAATCGGAAAGCGTAGAATCTGTGTGAGTGGATTTCAGGAAATGCAAAGGGGGAAAAACAACCCTGATGGGAATCATACAGGTATCGCAGCAGTAGTTGGGATGGGGGGAAGACAATAAATCAGAAGATAGAAAAGGAACGTAAGAAAGACACTTTTATGACAATCGTGAGGGTCTTCAGTGTGCAGGTGGATTGGGAAAATCAGATTGTTCATGGAGCAAAATGTTTACAAGATGTTATTTTTGGAGCAGTTTGTGGTAGAGCCCACTTGGGTGCAGGCAATTCTGGATTTGGTTATGTGTAATAAGGCAGACTTGATTAGGGAACTTAAGGTGAATGAACTCTTTGGGGCATTACCATAATAGGATAAAATTCTCCCTCTATTTCAGTGGGAGAAACTGAAACCAGATACAATGTTATCTCAATTGAGTAAAGGTAACTACAAAGACTGAGGGAGGAGCTGACCAGAGTTGATTGGAAGGGGAGTCTAGCAGAGAAGACAGTGGAGCAACAATGGCAAGTTTTTCTGGGGATTATTTGGGATGCACAGCAGAAATTCATCCCAAGGAAGAAGAATGCTGGGGTGAAGATGAGGCAGTCGTGGCTGATAAGGGAAGTCCGGGACAACATTAAAGTATAAGAAAAAACATACAATGTGCTGGAGATTACTAGGAAGCCAGAGGATTGGAAGCCTTATAAACCACTAGAGGATAGCTTAAAAAGCAATAAGGGCTGAGAAGATGAAATGCGAGAGTAAGCTAGATAATAATATAAAAGAAGATTGCAAGAGTTTTTAAATATCTAAAAAGAGAAGAGAGAGGCAAGAGTGGACATTGGGCTGCTGGAAATTGAGATGGGAGAAGTAGTAATAGGAAACAAAGAAATGGCAGAGGAATTGACGTCAGTTTTCACAGTGGAAGACACCAGCAGTATGCCAGAACTTCAGTAGAGTCAGGGGGCAGAGATGAGTGTAGAGTTATCATCAGGAAAAGTTGCTGGGGAGGCTGAAAGGTCTGAAAGTGGAGAAATCACCTGGACCAGACAGACTATACCCCAGAATTCAACAGAAGTTAGCTGAGGAGATTAGAGAGGTGTTGGTGATGATCTTTCTGGAATCACTGGAGTCAGGGAGGGTCCAAGAGAACTGAAAAATGGCAAATGTGACACCACTGTTTAAGAAGGAAGGGAGGCAAACAACAGGAAATTATAGGCTGGGTAACCTGACGTTGGTCGTTGGTGCAATTTTAGAATCCATTGTGAAGGATGAGATTATGGTGTACTTGGAAGTGCATGGTAAAGTATTGCTGAGTCAGCACAGCTTTGTCAAAGGGAGGTCATGCCTGATAAGTCTGTTAGAATGAGTAAGGTAGAACAAGGAGAGTGCATGGACGTGATCAGTCTGGATTTCCCAAAGACCTTTGACAAGGTGCTGCTCAGAAGGCTGCTAAATAAAGTAAGAGCTGATGGTGCTCAGGGCAAGGTACTGCAATGGTTAGAGGATTGGCTGACTGGCAGAAAGCAGGGCTAAAGGGTATCTTTTCAGGATGGAAGCGTTATTGTTACCACAGGTTATTGTTCGGACCACAACTATTCACATTATACATTAATGATGTGGACAAAGTAACTGAGGACATTATTGCTAAGTATGCTGAAGACACAAAGATAGGTGGAGGGACAGGTAGTGTTGCGGAGGTGGGGAAGCTACAGAAAGACGTGGGGAAGCTACAGAAAGACGTGGGGATGCTAGGTGAGTGAAAGATGGAGCACAAGGTAACGCAATGTGGGAAAGTGTGAGATTATGCACTCTAGTAGAAAGAATGCATAGACTATTTTATAAAGGGGGAAAGGCTTTGGAAATCTGAAGCACAAAGAGACTAGGGAGTCTGAGTTCAGGACTGTCTTAAAGTTAACATGTAGGTTCAGTAGGCAGTTAAGAACGCAAATGCAAGTTAGCATTCATTTCAGGAGGGCTAGAATACAAGAGCAGAGATGTGCTGCTGAAGCTTTATGAGGCTCTGGGACTGAATTTAGAATATTGTGATCAATTTTGGGCCCTGTATATAAGGAAGGATATCTTGTCCTTGGAGGGTATCCAGAAAAGGTTTGCAAGAATGATCCCAGGGAAGAAGGGCTTGTTCTAATGGAGAATGGTTGAGGATTCTTCGTCTGTATTTGATAGACTTCAGAAGGATGAGGGGGATTTGACACTTACAGAGGCTGGGATAGAGTGGACATGGAGAAAATGTTTTTCCACGAGTAAGAGAGACTAGGACCCAAGATACAGCTTCAGAGTGAAAGGTGACCCTTTAGAACTGAGATGAGAAGGAATTTCTTCATCCAGAGGGTGTTCAATCTGTGGAGCTCATTGCCTTGATTGCCTTAACTGGCTGTGGAGGCCGAGTCATTGAAGGTATTTAAGACAGATAGATTGATACTTCATTGGTAAGGTGATCAAGGGTGACAGGGAGAAGACAAGAGAGTGTGGTTGAGAAACCAGAAAATGTGCGTTGGCACGTTGGCTCAGTGGTCAGCACTGCTGCCTCACATGCCAAGGACCCGGGCTCGATGTCATACTTGGGCGACTGTGGAGTTTGCATATTCTCCCCTTGTCTGTGTGGATTTCCTCAGCGCTGCAGTTTCCTCCCATGGTGCAAAAATGTGCAAGTTAGGTGGATTGGCCATGCTAAATTGCCCGTAGTGTCCAGGGATTTTTTAAAATTCATTTGTGGGATGTGGGCGTCGCTGGCTGGCCAGCATTTCTTGCTCATCCCTAGTTGCCCTTGTGAAGGTGGTGGTGAGCTGCCTTCTTGAACTGCTGCATTCCTCCTGCTGTGGGATGACCCACAATGCTATTAGGGAGGGAATTCCAGGTATTTGACCCAGCGACGGTGAAGGAACGGCGATATATTTTCAAATCAGGATGGTGAGTGACTTGGAGAGGAATTTGGAGGTGATGGTGTTCCCTTATATCTGCTGCCTTTATCCTTCTAGATGGAAGTGGTCGTGGGTTTGGAACGTGCTGTCTGAGGATCTTTGGTGCATTTCTGGCCGGCTAGGTGGGTTAGCCATAGGATATGCAGGGTTACAGGGATAGGATAAGTGGGTGGGTCTGGATGGGATGGTGTTCAGAGAGTTTGCGTGGACTCGATGGGCTGAATGGCATACTTCCAGACTAGGGATTCTATGAGCATATCAGCCATGATCAAATGGCAGAGCAGATGTGATGGGCTGAATGGCCTGACTCTGCTCCTATATCTTTAGGTCTTATTCTCAGTATTATACTGTAACACATTAACATGGGGCAGGTGAAAAAAATCCAAGTGTGTAATTTTTCCCTTGATTTGCCATTTGATTCGCAGAAGCAAACAGATTAGAATGTGCTCCCAACTCAATTTCAACACAGGAACTACTGTGTATCCATGATGATTCACATTTTGCCATCTACATTTTGACAGAGGAATGATTCTAAATAGATAAAATTAGCCAGAATTTTGAATAGGATTAAAAACCTGCAATAATCAAACTTTGCTTCCTCACTTCATATAAATTTAATTGTAGAAATCCATGTTGAACCCTTCCAGACTAGTTATCCACCAAACAAGAATCTACACTTGCAGCTCAAGCTTGGAATATGACAAATTCTTACAAGCTGTAAAAGCATGCTGGAGTTGTATAATGTACATTCTAGGTTATAAACAATATGTTGTGCATTTCAAGAATTTTATGTTTCTAAACGTAAGTTCCTGTAGATGGCACTATTTACTTGCATATATATCTATACTTTTAAATGTGAAGTATTTTAGTATATTGCTCATTAAGTCAGTGATATGCTATGTAGCAGTCAATATCATTAGGATTACTGTTTTCAAGTTATTGCATGGTTGATATTGTATTTTTTTGTACAATGTGTTGATCGGATACAGTATTGAACCTTATACAGCATCAGGTTCAAATTGTGATTTATGTCCCAAGTTTTATATGGATTATGTTTATTTATTTCCTCATGGGACGTGGGCATTGCTGGCTAGCATTTATTTCCATCCCTAGTTGCCCTTGAGAAGGTGGTGTGAGCTGCCTTCTTGAACAACTGCTGCTGATGTGCTGTAGTTAGACCTGCAGTGCCATTAGGGAGGGGATTCCAGGATTTGAAGGAATGACGTTATGTTTTCAAATCAGGATGGGCTTGAGTGGCTTGGAAGGGAACTTGAAAGTGGTGGTGTTCCCATGTATCTGCTCCCTTGTTCTTCTAAATGGAGGTAGTTACGGGTTTGGAAGGTGGTATCTAAGGATCTTGGAAGAATTTCTGCAGTGTATCTTGTAGATCGTATGCACTGCTGCTGTTGCTGAGTGTTGGTGGTGGAGGTAATGAATGGTTGTAGATGCTTGGTGCCAATCAAATGGGCTGCTTTGTCCTGGATGGTTTTAAACTTCTTGAGTGTTGTTGGATCTGCACTCATTCAGGCAGGTGGGAAATATTCCATCATACTCTTGAATTATGCCTTGTAGATGGTGGACAGATTTTAGGAAGTCAGGAGGTGAGGTATTTGCTGCAGTATTCCGAGCCTCTGACCTGCTCTTGTAGTTACTGTATTCATATGGTGAGTTCAGTTGAATTTCTGGTCAATGGTATCCCCAAGAAGTTGATAGTAGGAAATTCAGTGATGGTAACACCATTGAGTGTGAAGGACAGTGGTTAGATTATCTGTCATTAAGCTGGTCATTGCCTGGCATTTGTGTGGCACGAATGTTAGTTGCCTGTTGTCAGCCCAAGCCTGGATATTGTCCAGGTCTTGCAGTATTTGAACATTGACTGCTTCGGTGTCTGAGGAGTTGTGAATAGTGCTATGCGTTGTGTAATCAATGGCTAACATCCATACTTCTGACCTCTATGATGTAAATCAGCATTTTTGATGATGATCTTTGTAAAATTTTCCTTGATGAGTACTTAAATACCAAGTTTTAAGTGTGTAGGAAGTGTGCAGTACTGTTGAGTGTGGATCATGCTGGGGTTTTAATTGTCTAATGTTCTCGTGAGGTAAAAATATTGGATGGATGTGGAGAGATAGTGGGAAGGACTTCTGAGCTGTAAATTAGAAATGTGCAATGACAATTTTTGTGACCAAAACCGTAATATATAGGAGCTGAATTAGGCCATTCAGCCCATTGGATCTGCTCCATCATTCGATCATGATCTGTTTCTCAACCCTGTTCTCTTGCCTTGTCCCTGTAGCCCTTTATCCCCTTACTAATCAAGAACCTCTGTCTTAGTCTTAAATACAGTCAATGACTTGGCCTTCTTTGCCTTCTGTTGCAATGAGTTTCACAGATTAACCTCCCACTGGGTGAAGAAATTCCTCCTCGTCTCAATTCTAAAGGGTCATCCCTTCACTCTGAAGTTGCGCCCCCGGGTTCTAGTCTAATCTCCATGTTCACCCTATCTGATTTCTCAGTGTTCAGGTGATTGATAACTGTCCTTCAGTCAGGTGAGTCAGCTACTTTATTAACCTTTTCACTAGACTAGTGGATTTTAAACTGTTAAAATGGAGGAAGAAAATAAAGATTTACCTGGTTGAGTTCCCATAATGCCACCAAATTCCCAGAACTGCACACTCACTTGGGCTATGTCTCATACTGAATGGGATCTCTCCTTTCTGACCATGAGAAACTTACTGCTTTGGTAACACATAATAAGTTCACAGAGACTAAAATATGAGTGCTGTTTACAGAGTTTTGTTTGAGTCATGATCAGGGACATGGTGATAATTTTTATTGCCTAGTTTGTCAGCAAATGAATGAAGGACATGGGTATATAGGATGGCATGATGGCAAGGCAGAGCTGAGGGGTTGATGTGGAGGCAAAGGCAGTGAAGTTGGATATGAGAGCAAGAGCTATTTGTGAAACAAGTCCAAATATGTCCAAGGAATCTTATTATAATCCTGCAAGTACTTCATGTTGGTATGACTGACAATGTTTGAAAGAAGAAATCTGAAACAGATGCCTCCGACATGCAGATTGCTATCAAGCAATGCTACATGGTAGCCCCCATACCCTTTAAAATCTATGGTATTGCTTATTCACCTTGCCAAAGATCAACTGCCCCCTCACAAGAGTATTAAATAGTATCCAGAAAGATTCTTTGAACTCAGTCATTTCTGTGCCCGGATTAAACCAACTATTATAGACCTGCAGTGTGCACATGATTGCAGAGCTGTCGCTGTGTGTGTAGGTAAGGAATTCATCCTGTTATGAATGTTGCCAAAGCAAAACTTCTGTATCAACCTAGACCTAGACAATTAAACATTTTATCACCCTTGTATGCTAAGGAGAAAATCTGGAGTATGTCGAACATTTTCCATACATTGGGTGCCAGCTGTATCAAAAGCGTATAATTGTCAAGGAGATCCAATGATAATGCTCACCAGCAACACCCAAATTCCATCAAAGAATAAACCAAAACACAGGTCAGCTCCTCAAACTCAACCTTCGACAAACTATAGCAGTGTTAACAACAAAGACTTCTGTAAATCCAGAAAAGTTCCACTGAACAGTGTAGTTGTTGTCACAACCACTCCTGTACTGCAGTGAGACTGGATTGTGCTTCGGATTAGAATTCTTTATGGGGCAGTGTTTACACATGCCTGTACTTAAGTTCTTACATTTTGAAAATTGAGTAACTGACAGAATATTTTCTGAAGGTAGAAGGAGATCTGAATTGTTAACTCTGTGTTCTCTCCACAGATGTTGCCAGTCCTGCTGAGTTTTTCCAGCAATTTCTGATTTTGTTAAATGAAGTATTTTCCCTTTCAGGCTGAAGAAAATGTCATAACTACCGTTACAGAACTGAACGTTATTTTGGAATCAAATGAGTTTTGTGATTTGAGCCGATTCATATCTCGGTAAGATTTCAATAAATTTGTTTTGTCAAAGGTGTATATAGGTTCATATTGTTGGTACACATTTATTGTTGTCTTTATCAGTTAGCTATTCTAATATTTTCTTCCTCCTCCTCCTCCTCTTTGAAGTAGTCATTACCACGTCTACATATAAAGATACTGTGCTTTAGAATTTTAGATGGTGCATTCACAATGAGAGGGATAGATAAGATGACTACCCAAGCCATTTTTCAAAGGGTGGGAGAGTCCAAAATTAGGAGGCAGAGGTTTGAGGTGAGAAGGGAAAGATTTAAAAGGGACCTGAGGGGCAGATTTTCCACACAGAGGGTGGTGTGTGTGTGGAATGAGCTGCCAGAAGAAATGGTAGAGGTGGGCATAATTACAATATTTAAAAGACATTTGGACAGATACATGAATAAGCAAGGTTTAGAGGGATATGGACCAAAGGCAGGCAAATGGGACAAGTTAAGTTTGGGATACCTGGTCGGCATGGACGAGGAACAAAAACAGAAGTTGCTGGAAAAGCTCAGCAGGTCTGGCAGATTCTGTGAAGAGAAATTAGAGTTAACATTTCGGGTCCGGTGACCCTTCCTCAGAACTGGGATGGGTGAGGGTCTCTTTCCATACTGTATGATTGTATCACTCAATGACTGTAATTAGAGTGAGTTAGGAGCAGAGGTTGACCATTTGGCAGCTCAAATCTGCTAAACTGTTCGGCAAGATCATGACTGATCAGTTTGTTTCAAACTCCATGTTCCCATCTACTTCAGATAACTTTAGATTCCTTCACCTAGCAAACATCTACCTGCTGACTTTGCTGTGCCAAGAATTAGGATATGTCTGGTATGGTGGAAGTGGAAACTGTTCAAACTTTTCTTCTGCCCAGCAAAACTTGTCGCATTACTGTAAATACGTGTGCTGAGGATGCAGACTTCACTGATTTGAAGTTTAATGTTCTGAGTCAGGTTGCTGTTGTCCAACAGTCCTGTACACCACTTAAACGTAAAAGCTCCAACTCTGACAATGCATGTTTGATTTCAGTCAGGTGACGGATTGCTGGTGATTGTGGAAGCTCGACACCACAAGTGCCTCATTGTCATTGCAGATAACTGATGGTATGCCAAAGCCCCAAAGCATGAGATTTGTCTTCCTGATGCTAACAGTTGAGCCAAACACGTCTTATGGGGTAGGTCTGCAAGGGTCTGCCCGATTGCTGTTGAAAATATTCCTCAGTGTAGAAAAATATTGCAGTTTTGTTGGTGAAAAGCGACTTTCTGAAAATGACGGTGCACCTTGGTGCAACGATATCCTGTTGAATAAAACTGAACGGCTTTCTATTACTGCCAGTATGTAAGTAGGCACCCTATGTTGTTGACTTGAAAACTCGTGAAAGCAGCTAAGAAAAGGATATTCCAAAGAGCATCGGGGGCACAACACTTGGGGGGCTTGTTTGACCCCACTGCAGATCTCAGAGTTCTGACGTTGCCTTATTATTGCTGGCCTTATCCATTGTGTCCTCATGGAAAGAAAGATCACATTAAGTAGCTTCAGCCAGTTTTCCCCTGTCCTGTGCTTAAATACACTACATGTTCTCTAATGACTGAATGTCTTGGAAAGGTCATAGGAACAGGAGTAGGCCATTCAGCTAATCAGGCCTGTCTGCCATTAATATAATCATGGCTGATTGAACACTTCAATGCTTTTTACTTACACTATCCCATAAATGTTTTGCTCCTGTCGTAGCCGTAAATACATCAATCTCTCTAAACATACTCAAAACCTGAGCTTTCACAACTTGCTGGGGTACAGAATTCCAACGATTCAGACGTCTCTGAGGTAAAACAATTCTCTTCATCTCAGTGCTAAGTGGAACCCCTTATTTTTAAGTTGTACCCTCTGGTTCTAGAATCAGTCCACCTCACCTCAACCAATTTATGCGTCATGTCTCCATAATTACACTTGCCCAGATTTACTGTTGATGCTTTAGATTAAATTGTCTCACTTGCAAACATTGTGTCAAATTATATCTATTCAGTTGTGATCACTCATCTGTAAAGGTTACTTTACAAGATCATTAATTTATCCTTTTTCATTACATAATACAAGTGTTAAATTGCCTGTCCTCTAGTTAACTTCTCAACATCCTGTTCGAAAAAGCCACCTGTAGCTAACACTGTCCAGTAACTCAAGCACCACGGCTTTATTGCTCAATTGGTTTACACAGTCTGTGTTGCCCATGTTATATGCTTCTCGCATGTCCTGACTAATACTATAACCCACGTAACCACTACTAATTGTTGGCCTATAAATAACTCCAACCAATGTCCGTTGCCCTTTGCTATTTTTTTATCTTCAACCACACAGATTCCACACATTGTTTTTCCAATCTGAAATCTTTCTTTATTAATGTACTGATCCCAAACCTTCTTAATAGCAAAACTCCACCTCCTTTCTCCTTCCTGTCTGTCCTTCCGAAACATTGAATATCCTTACATATTCTGTTCTCAGTCCTGAATGAGCATGCAGCTATGATTCTGTAATGGCAACTATGTATCTCAGTTTGTACCTTTAGATCATCTACATTGTTGAAAATGCTTCATGCATTCAGGTAGAGTGCTCTTAACTTTGACTTTTTGACAGCATTCTGCGTTTACAGCGTACCCAGTACTTGGCTTTGTTTCTCCTGTCTTCGATCAATGCAAGCAATATATCATGACGCTTTTGGTTGCACACTTCTGTTGTAGCGGCTAGACCAAGAAGATCCTGTCAATTGCAGATCTTCTAGTTCTGAAACCACACTGGAGTTAATGGTAGATGCATATAGCTAGACAATGTAGTCAGACAAGGGAAGATGGGCAAGCGTTTTCCCACAATGCCAAGCAGAGAGATGCTTCTATCATTGTTGCAGTTACTATTGATGTCCTTGAAACAATCTTTGCTCCACACATATACTGGGCAGTATTCCCTCTCTCCTGCAGAGACTGAGAAGTTTTTGCAGATGCTTCAAAGTGAAGTTGTGATGAAATCTTTTTGTATCCATTTTGTATTGTGTAAGCCAGTAATCCATGAATATTGTAAAATTCAGCCAACAGAAAGTTCCTCGGAGTTGTTAAATTTAATTTCCAGCTTGTTATATTTGATTTTGTCTGGCAATTGAATTGGGGCATTTTGTGAAGCTTTCAGCAGGTCACTCGGAATAGTTCAATAGTTACTAAATAGTCAATATTAGGCATTTGGGCAGAGGCAGACAGAGGAGAAGGCTGTTAGTCAAGTGCTTTTAAGGAGGTAGAAGAGGATCCCTCCCGAAAACGTGCTGCTATAGTAGGCTTTGAGCCATGAGAACTTATGTGAAGAACCAGGTGCTTGATGGTGCAGCTAAATTTTGGGACCGGGGGTCAGGAAAAGCCACAGGAGCTCAGAAGAAACTGCCATTAATAGTTCAGTGCATCTGAAAGTGGGGATTAAAGAAGCCCACAAGTGGTTTTGGTTTGTGCAGCTTTAAAGCTTGGAGAAATACAGAGCAAGACCAGTTTGGTAAAGCTACCTGTCAGTGAAAAGAACAAAAAACAAAGAAAATTACAGCACAGGAACAGGCCCTTCGGCCCTCCAAGCCTGCGCCAATCCAGATCCTCTATCTAAACCTGTCACCTATTTTCCAAGGATCTGTATCCCTCTGCTCCCTGCCCATTGATGTATCTGTCTAGGTACATCTTAAATGATGCTATCATGCCTGCCTCTACCACCTCTGCTGGCAACGTTTTCCAGGCACCCACCACCCTCTGCGTAAAGAACTTTCCACACATTTCTCCCTTAAACTCTTCCCCTCTCACCTTGAAGTCATGACCCCTAGTAATTGAGTCCCCCACTCTGGGGGAAAAAGCTTCTTACTATCCACCCTGTCTATACCTCTCATGATTTTGTAGACCTCAATCAGGTCCCCCCTCAACCTCCGTCTTTCTAATGTAAATAATCCTAATCTACTCAACCTCTCTTCATAGCTGGCGCCCTCCATACCAGGCAACATCCTGGTGAACCTCCTCTGCACCCTCTCCAAAGCATCCACATCCTTTTGGTAATGTGGCGACCAGAACTCTGCGCAGTAAGTTGAAATTGATTTATGAATAGGGGCTTGAGTGCATTTTTTAGAATCAAGGAAGTGCAGTCCCGATAGGGAATATGAGCTGCCAGATTGTGAGCAATCATTAAGACAGTCTGTGATCGAGTGGAGTTTGAGGCAGTTCCAAAGCTAGTAGTGAAGAATTGGAATCACTTGTAAAGTCTAATGAGATCACTTGGTTGCTAATATCTTGGGCGTAGTAATGGGAGTATTACTGAGGATTCCATGTGATCTGTCTTCACTGCAACAGCCATTTGATGTATTCTTTGGGGTGTTTCACCACAGTTTGTTACCCACGTTTATTTTTAGTAAATTCTAATTGGATGTTAAAATATAAGTTCTGCATACAAACGGACAATGTCTTAGATACCACTCACCAACCTTGGGTATGTGCTGTCTCACTTGGGGGACAGACCTACCAGAGGTTGAAGTAGAATGACGGAAAGTTAGGAGGAAGTTCCCGTAGGAGTACTCAACATTGACTCCAAAACCCATGAAGTCTCTTAGCATCAGGTCAAATATAGACAAAGATACCTCTTTCCGATTACATGCTTACCACATCCAATCTCCCTATCCACCCCAGCTAATCAATCAGTACTATCTGTTTTGACCTCAACTTAGAAGATCATGGAGCATGGGAAGTGCACAGATCTACTTGGGGTTGGGGCATCAAAGTCCATCACGTATAGTGGCTCCATAGCAGTACTATTGATCGAGCGGGCCAAGTCCAAAAGAACAGAACTGGTAGAGTGGGTCTCCAGCATGTGGTGAGGGAACCAACAAGAGCGAAAATGTTCCTTAACATTACCCTCACCAATCTACCTGTTCATCATTGCCGGTATTGGTAGGTGTGACCGTTGCACAGTCATTGTTGAGATGAAGTCCTGTCTTTATATTGAGGAACACCTCCATTGTTCTCTGTGGCTCTGTTACTGTGCTAAATGGAACAGACTATGAACAGGTCTGGCAACTCAAAGTTGGGCATCCATCGGTCTGAATGGTACTGCTAGTCTAGAACTAGTTGTGTCCTGCAGCCAAACTGTACCGCTATTCCTGTAACAAGCAGGATAGATAAAGGAGAAGCAATGGATATAATATCCATGGATTTCCAAAAGGCATTCAATAAGGGTACTAAACATATGAATACTTCATAAGGGATGCTCCACTGGGATCAGAGCTAGAGCCAGAATTATTTGCTATCCATATAAATGACTTTGAGAAAAGTGACTGTACTAATGCCAAGTTTGCAGCTGACACAGAGAATAGGTGGGAAGGCAGGCAGTGAGGATGACACTAAGAGACTATAGAGGGATAAAGACAGGTTAAATGAGTTGGCAAAAACTTGGCAGATGAAATATAATGTTGGAAAATGTGAGGTTATCCACTTTGACAGGAAGAAGAGAAGAGTTAAATATTATTTAAATGGAGATATAACCAAAAGCTGGAGAACACAGAGGGATTCATGGTATATGAGTCACAAACTAATTGGCAAAAGTTCATTGGATAATTGAGAAGGTAAAAGGCCTTTGGATTTTATTTCAAAAGGAATGGAATATAAGAATAGGGAATTCTTGCTAAAATTATACAAGGCACTAGTCAGATCATACCTAGAATGTAGTGAACAGTTTTTGTTCCCATGTGTAAGGAAATATAGTGGAGGCAGTCCAGAGAAATTTCACTAGATTAATTTCAGATATGGAGAGATTTTATTATGAGGACAAGGTGAATCGATTGGGCCAGTGCTCGTTGGATTTTAGAAGAATGAGAGGTCACCTTATTGAAACATACAAGAACGTTAGGAGAACTGACAGGATAGATGCAGAGAAGCTTCTTTCCTTTGTGGAAGAGTCTAGGAGTAGTGGCATAATATCAGAGTAAGGGGTCACTAATTTAGGTCAGAGATGAGGAATTTCTTCTTTCAGAAGGTCATGAATCTCTGATATTCTTGATCTCAGAAGGCTGTCAAGGCTGGATTGTTAACTATATTCAAAGCTGAGATATGCAAATGTTTTATTGGAGAATTGAGAGTTATGGAGAAAAGGCAGGAAAATGAAGGTATGATTAACAGATCAGCCATGATCTCATGAATTCTGGACTTGATAGGCTGAATGACCTTCTTCTATTCCTATGTGTTATGGTCTTCGAGTTACAACACTCGCGTCCAACCAGCAAAATAAAAAATTGTCCAGGTAAATCTTGTTCATGAAAAACAAACAAATCCAATGCAACCAATTAGCTTTCTGTCGGTCTACTCTCGAGAATCAGCAAGTGATGGAACTGGTTATCATCTTTGTCATGACGCAGCACTTTCTGAGGAATCAAGTGCTGCTCAGCTTGGATTCTGCCAGTGTCACTCTGCTGTTGACCTCATCGGTCAAGCTTTTATCAAATATGAACAAAAGAAATGAACTCCTGAGATGAAGTAAGAGTAACTGCCATTGATGTCAAGACTGTTTGATAAGTAAAGCTTCAAGGAGTCCTAGCAAAACTGAAGTTGATGAGAATCAATGGGAAAATTCTCTACCTAGCATAATTGAGGATGGTTCTGGTTGTTGGAGATGAGTCATCTCAGTTCTTGGACAACACTGCAGAAGTTCCTCAGGATAGGCAAATTCAGAGATGTTATCACCTCTGAAGCAGGTGGGTCTTGAAACTAGGTCTCCTGACTCAGTGGTAGGGACATTACCACTGCCCCACAAGATCCTCAAGTTTCTCAGTATAATATTCTAGGCCCAACCATCTTCAGTTGCTTCATCAGTAACCCTCCTTCCATCGTAAGGTCCAAGTGGATGTGTTCATTGATTGCACAATTTTTGCAAACTCTCAGATTCAAAGCAGTCGATGACCTAAGCAAGAAAACCTGGATAACATCCAGGCTTGGATTGTTGAGCAGCAAATGATATTTGTACCCAAAAGTGCCAGTCGACATCCATCTCCAACAAAATAGAATCTAACCTCGCTTTTTGATATTCTGACATTACAATTGCTAAATTAATCCATGATCAACATTCTGGGGAGTCAACTTTAGTTCGAATCCGAATTGATTCAGCCGTATAAATACTGTATGGTTATGTTATTATGAAATGGAATATACTGTGTGGTGGTAGAGGCCCGATAGATAGATGGCTTCAGTTCTGTGAAGATAATTATTTTTTAAGAGGTCACAAAGTAATTTGTACAGAAAAAGACATTCCCAAGAAGACCAATTACTTTGATCAAATGCCCGGCATGATGCCTGTGAAGATAATTGTGGAAGTATTTATAACATTGACCTTTTTATGATATACAGGATTAAAACTGACCAGGGGCCGTGTTATGGACCAGACCAAACCCCCTCAAAATATATGATGAAAATAGTCTGGTCTCTAACTTTTTCTTATTTTAATGGCAAATGTAAGGCGTTGCATTCCCAATGCGATTTGATTGATCAAACAAGTCATTGTTAAGCATAACATGCTTATTTTTAAACACTACAGTTAAAATACAGACAAAATAAAAATAAAAATAAAAGAATTGTCTTAACTGTAACTCTATTGAAATGCTTAATAAAATAATATATGTATTGAAGACAGTAAGGACTGCAGATGCTGGAAACTAGAGTCAGTAACTGTGGGGTTGGAAAAGCACAGCAGGTCAGACAGCATCCAAGGAGCAGGAAAGTCAATGTTTCAGGCTGAAACCCTTTGTCAGGGTTAATATATATAAATGATAATTAATTAACTATTCCAATATAGTAAAATTCCATAAAAACACACTTGGCAAAGGCAAATTCAATAAAATAGATTGTCTCACACTCAATTCTGCTTGGTACCTTAACCTTTCTTCATTTTAAAAATAAAAGCACAAAATTCACATCCTAAAGCCAAAGTATTGTCATACCTCCCCCATTAAAAAAAAATCAATGTACGAAGATGGCTTCATTTTTAAAAACCTTTTGTCTTACGCTATTATTACACTACAATTCAGATACATTACAATGACTCTGAGCATGCAAACATTCACTACCACAGTCCATTTCAGTTCGTTTTTACCTGCCACTGAAAGCCTCTGTCTTCCTTCATCAAAGTCACGATAATGAGTCAATAATAACGTTCTCTCACCCTGACACATGCATAATTTTCAAATTGAATGGCTGCAACAATAAGCTCCATGCAAATAGTCTGATATTTCTATCCTTAAATTTTTCCAAAAACTTAGAGGTTGTGATTAGCACATGTAATTGTATCAGACTCATTACTGGCAATATAAATGTTGAAATGTTGCAATGCCATTACCAAGCTCAAGGTGTCCTTCTAAATCCTTGAATATTTCTGTTGATGATTATTCAGTTTTCTGGAGAAATACCCAATAGGTCTTTCTTTCTTCTCATTGTCTTCTAGCAAGAGTACAGCACTGACACCCACATCACTTGCATCAATAGCTGTTTTGACTGGCTTTGCATAATTCAGTGTGGCTAACACTAGGGTGTTGTTTAACATAGCTTTCAGGCTGTCACATGCCTTCTGACATTCCGTCCTCCACTAACATTTTCTGCACTTCTTCAACAAGTCAGTCAGTGGAGCAACCACACTGCTAAACTTCAGTACGAGCATCCGATAAAAACCACTGAGTCCTAAGGATGGTAGTACTTCCCTTTTCATTGGTATGGGAAACTCCCCAATAACCTTTGTTTTCACATCCCATGGGACCATCTGTCCATGTCCAAAGGCCGAAGAATGTGACTTTGGCTTTTGTGAACTCGCCCTTAGCCAGGTTTATCACCAAACTTGCCCTCCAAAGTTGATTGAACAATTCCGATAGATGCTACAAATGTTCCTTCCGTATGTGACTAAAAATCACCAAACTATCGATGCATACCACAGAATTGGGTAACCCCAAAATGACTTTATTGGTTTTCCTTTGAAATGTGGCTGGTGTACTTTTCGTACCAA